CTATACGACCATCATCCCCAACGAATGAAATGCGTAAATTTGAAGTTGGCAAAACTGTAAGATTTAAATTGCCCCTGAGATAATATGAAAAGATAATGAAAGCTTAGAAATACATATATAAACAATAAACAAATAAAACACAACAACATCAACCAGAAACTACATTACACAGTTATGCTTTGAAAGTAGTTTCAAGGGAGAGGAACAAATATAAGCATATGAAGACTAAAATTGAAGGAGCACAATCACTCAATATAAATCTAATTGTGCTTTCTCAATTAACAAAATTATTTATTTTTACTTTGCTTTTCCATTGATAAAATCCAAAACAAATTCAAGCAATTAAATTGTTAATTTGAAGGCTTTACAGACAAAGGTATCTGTTTACCATTCTAAGAAAACAAATCACCAAGCAGGATCACAACCATTTTCCTTGAAAGTTCAAATATTAAGCCCTTCAAAATAGCTATCACAGAAGCTATTATTTAGAGATGCATCAACATAAATTTTGTATCTTGAATCCTAAAAATACTAAAACCTGATAAAAGTTGGACTCTCCAGTGACCAGCATAACTGACAGGTACACAACCAATGCAAAAAGGTGTATCTTCCTGTTTTTCACTGATAAATGGGTTATGAGATAATGTTACTTTTATCAAGCAAAAGCATTTCACACAAATGTTTCTTTTCTGTACATATATAAATAAACAGGAAGTTCAAGTAACACGCCATCACTACACCATATGACTGGAAGAAAGTAAGACATAAAGTAGTACATTGATGTCCAATTCAGTTAAAGAATAGCTCGACGTTAATAAAGAAACATATGCTCGCAGAACCAAACAAACTTCTGGAACACGGTAGAAAGAAACGACATAACTCTGAAACACAACAATCGGTCACACTCAATTTTGATCTCCATCAAGATGTCAATCATTTATAATTAAAATGCAGCAGCAAGCTATATAATATATAGGATCGTGGAACTACCTTTACTTCCTCTTAATTCAGAGATCATAATAGAATATGCCCACTTTACCTACAAGTCAAAAGACATATTTACTTGGAAGAATGAACATTGTCACTACTAATAAACTAAATAGATTCCCCTACCTACGAAAACATTATTTACTAATGATAACACTCCTCACAACATAAGATTTGTTCACAAACTCAATACTATATCAAAATTCCTTCCACAAAAACTTAGGGAATTGTTTATTTTGTAACCACTAAAGTAACTAACCCGCAAATAAAAGTTAACGATACATGCCAATGATGTTAATTATAATAAAAGGAAATAAGAACTGCAAACTATATCAGAATAGCCATAAATTGATTTATTGACAAAAGACTGATAAGTAAAAGATACGTAGAAATAAATGCAGACCAAAATATTCAATGAAAAATATAAGCTTCATCTGAAATCATTCTGCTTATGTATTGTAAACAAATGTCCTTTTCTTCACATAAATTGATTTAACAAGTACATCATTAAAACTAACCTCCAAAATGTCTCTCCATGTCTGACTGCAAAAACCATGATGCAGTACAAAGTGACATCAAGATGTAGTGCTTTTCACAGCAAATAGAAATCCACAAGTCAAACATAGTTAATATGATGGTATTTCCCAAGGCTATCACAAAATGCTACTACCCTCAAAATCCACAATCAGGGATTCATGATTCCAAAAATTGTTACACTAAATTATATGGTAATTTTGGTGACCGAAAATACCTACCATCTTGAAATGATAAACGACACATTAAGCTTTCATAGATTATGATGTTTTCTTAATAAGAAGCCAAAACCATAAAGACATTTGACCTAAGAATGTCTTCCCCACATTCAAAGTTGTAATTGAACATTCAGTCTATAAGAGTGAAACCCCATTGTGCATTGTTCTAGCCAGGTGAGATCACTTTCCGATTCCCATTCAACGAACCATAACAAATCCATGTTTTACGTAACCGAAGTAAGTCCCAACCGATATGAGAGCGAGCTTTCCAATCAATTTCACACATAAAAATATAACTCACAAACATACACAGCAGAGAGTTTCTGCTGAGTTGTATAATAATCCAAAACAATAATTCAAAACTATCTTGAGTGAACTTTTCTAGAACATTCTCTAAAGATGACCCATAAATATAAATGCATACAAAGAATCACACAAAGACTTTACTTTCTGAAGTTCGTAATCAACATGAAAGATGCAGTCCAGTCTCCCAATAAAAATCAAACACGCACAATCACACAACTAATCCTTTTCTACATGAGGACCTGGAAATTAATATCGGACAAATTTGAACTTCCGAGAGTAAATTAAATGTTTGATTGACTGCGAAACATCAGACAGTACTAACATCAGGACATTACTAACAACAGTTAAATCGAAAGCCAAAGATTTCCAGCAAAGCTATCTAAATGCAAAGACAATCAGTTGTTCTAAGTGATTGACTTTGTACGGTTCTTGTTCAAACTATTTAAACGAGCAAAAATAATGAAAAACATCAATTACAAACAACATTTCAAACAAACAAACACACAGGCCAAAACACACCAAACCAGAGCACCAATGGATATCGATAGTCAGATGTTTACCTAGCAGCAGTGGGACACAAGAGAGTCCCTTGCTTGTTGATCTTCCCCACACGAATAGATACGAGAGGTATACAGAAGCACCTCGCAAGCATTCCAACTTCCGCCGGCTCGAAATGCTATTCATCAAACACAAAGTGTGAGATCATCAATTTGCAAAACCCGAAATCAATATAAACTTAAAGCCAAAAATTATGCCCACATTTCGACAGATTTCAACAACCTTCCATCCAATTCACAAAGTATTTTGCAATTACTCCCACCAAAAACCATTGAATGGCAAATAGAGCTTCAATTCAATCAAGTTGGGTCATTTCTATCATACCTGGCTCAATTGAGCTAACAATCGATCCTCTGCGACGTCGTTCGACGCATTCATCTTCAACAACGGCTTCAATCTCTCGTCGACGCGACACGCGCCCATAACCTGCATATCAAGCGCTTGTAGCCACTGCAAAACGCGGTCCTCTCGATTGCTCTGCTGCAGCAACAGATCTCCATCTCCTTCGTCAACAAATATCCCCGTCAACCGCTCCTCGAGCCCGGTCTCACTCCTCGCCGCCGGTCCAGCGCCGTTGCTCTCCACACCGTTCGAAGACGACGAGTCCTCCATTTCCCCACCGTTCGATTGATCAGAAATGCGATCGCCGCCGTTGATCTCGTTGTTCGTGTCTATATCTCGGTCTCCATGGTTAGTCATCACGAATAATAGGGGAAATTTCCTTGAAATCTCAAATCGTCTTGACAGATTCGAAACCCTAATCGAATTCAATTCTTTTTGTTAAATTAAACTTGATTTTTTCAAATTATGGTTTCCAAATCTGAATCGGAAGCCCCGGAGAAGGTTGAGATTGAATCGGAAGAGAGAGATTGTTTTGCCGATTGCGTGGGCGAGGAGAGAGAGAGAGAGGAGATAAGGCGGTTTTTTTAGAGAGAGAAACGGTTTTTTCAGAGAGAGAAGAAAATAATAATTGGTCTCTGCTACAAAAACGGAAGGACGCAAATGGCAATGGGGTCGGTTTATATAAATACAGCTGGGCAGGGACTGGATTATAATACGAGGCGGACTTGAAAGCCGCCTATCCAATTCGGTTGTGTTCGGTCTTGAGATCCGGGCGCGATCGCATAGGCACCACGTCAGCTTATCAGACTCTGTGGGACCCGCGTGTCTGGTGGAGCCAGCTGCTTTGGGGGTGGGGAGAGGCGCCACGTCAGACGCTGAGCGGATCACGGTCATTTGATTCAGCAACAGGAAAGCGAGCGAGCTGCGTCGGCGTCGGATAAGAGGGTGGCTGCTAGCGTGCGCGTTGGATGGGGACGGGTTGAGGAACAACAGAACGAGATTAATTTATGGACTTGGTTTTTTTATCAGAGAGGAGATTGGAAATTGAGACAGCTTTCTTCTCATTCCTTTCTTTCCAAATTAGGGGAATATTAACGAGATTAAGTTTATAAATAAAATTTTGTAAATTAAATAACATGAAAATTAATGATTGAATTATTATTTAAGCGTTGATAAACGTATTCATTTTTACTAGTGACACGTCATTCAGTTTGTAAATTTTATGTACAAATTAAGTCTCTCTAACATTATCCTTCAATTTATATCTAATTAAGGCTTACTATTCATTTAGCTGTGTTGTCAATTAGCTTTTAGCCTAATAATTTTTTTTTCTCACATTGAGTGTTTGTCTATACTCTACAGTATGAACCTTTTATGAATAATATTATTCACACACATATTTTTATTTCTGATGCACTTTTTTCACTTTTCAGTAATCGGATCGAATAAATTGAAAAAAAATCAATTGATAAAAATTAACAAGAATGTATGAAAGATGAAAAGGATGTGTGAAATTTACAAATTTTATCTATAAATTTAGTCTTTCTAACATTATTTTAAAAAAAATATCTTTATGCTGGGTCCCATGATACTTCGAGTTTTGATCGGGTGCATTTTTGTGCCCACATTGAAAGTGAGTTTCACTACTGCATTGATTGTGCCCACATGTCTGTTTAATTTACACACGTTTAGAGCAAAAATAATAATTTATGTATTGCTTAAATCTTAAAATTTAAATTCATCGACAATCAATATAACATTATGAGCAAACCTATTTCCCTTTTGCTTTTCTTAACAATCCAATGGAAGTTTGATGAGAAAAATAACGAATCAGAATTCTTGTCGAATCTTCTTTATGAGGATTTCGTAGATCTATAAGTCGTGTTCGTTCATCGTATATCGTGCTATCAAAAATTATTTTAAATATTTTTATTTAAAATTAAACATAAAAAGCACTTAATAAAAATTGATCGCATAAACATACATAATTTACGAATCCTTAAGATCCTCACCAAAAGCATCCGGAGGATCCTGTTGGGAAAATAACACCAAACAGGGCATAAACCATAAGATCAGCATAACATCTTTAATCATAAGAAACACAACTTTTACTTTTCTTTTTGTCACTTCACTCACAGTCAAGAGGTTAAACAAACAGTTTTAGAATCGCCACCCGAGTTCATTTCGGACAAGGACTGTCTACCTTCCCACTTCCAGTGTCCTTCTGTGTTTTCCTGTTTTGTGTGGTAACGGTTAAACCACGTCAACATTTTATATTGTTTTTTTATAGAGATAATAAGACAAAAATAAATAGTAATATAAAATGTTGACGTGGCTTGACCGTGATTACACAAACAGGAAGGCACCGGAAGTGAAAGGGCAGATAATCCTTGTCCGTTCATTTCAGCAGTACTCTTTAACATCCACAGATAACAAAATAGCCCAACTGTTAAAAATTCCGTCAATGCGCTTCAAGTCTTATAAACGATGATATGATGTAGTTTCCAATCACTTGCTCTTTTTTGGTTCTCTCTGATATTCATTTATTAGCGCTTGGATATCTTTCCAGAAGAGACCCTCCACCAAAACTCCATCCTTGGTGAACCTGAAATGTTCCCAAATGTTAAGAAAATATTGATTTTGCATCCATGTTTGTTCATCTCTATATGTGCGGGTATGGTCTTCAGAAGTGTGTGTTCTTGGTCTGTGTGTGTGTGTGTGTGTGTGAGAGAGAGAGAGAGAGAGAGAGAGAGACCACTGAGTAACGCTTTTGGTGAACTGTAATGGTTGATTAGCAGAAATAGATTTGGGGTCTGAACTTGCTATCACAAGTGTGTACATATCAGAGAATCCTGGCAATTTGGAAGAGACCACCAATCCAGTGCTTATGAAGGAATCCTGCGTGAATAAACCGCAACTGAATAAAGCTTACAAACTTTCACCGAGTCCAAAATTTAGAAACACACTAGATATATTTATTAACTGACCATTCTGACTAAAATTGTAGGAACAATCATACTTTATATGCAACATTAGACCTTATTTTAGCTTATGTGGTCCAACATAGAAGTTGTTCATGAACAAGTACAAAAAGAAAACAGTACCGTTAATTGCTTATGCATTAGGATTGAGTTCAAAATGGTAAATATTAACAAGAAAAAGGAACTATAAGATCATATAAATCAATCGAAAGAGTAATTCTGTTTTACTATAGATTACATCAAAACGAACAAAAAATGTATCAAATTCTGAAATGGAATTTTAAAATTCTTGCTCCTAGTAACAGGGGTAAGCAGTTGCGTCCACCATTGAAGAAAACACAAAAGCTCCCTATCATCAAACAACCATCAGTCTTGCACACATACCACGCATGTACAGTTACCTAACCATGGACGGTAACCCTCAAAAGGCAGCTCGGCAAAAAACACTCAACAAAGAGCGAAAAGAAGGAACAAGAAACTCTCAAGACACATTTGAGTAGAGACTGCTTTATATTCCACCCTACGGTGATGGCAGCAAAGACCTGAGCATAATGTCCGAGACATGTCCCAGTTACATAATGCATATACAACTAACAAGAGGGAAGGAAGAAGATACACCACATTACAGATGAAGAACAATAAATAAATTATCATCTAGACGTATTCGGGTCCCTTAGACATGCTAATAGGTAGCCGAGCTTGCTATAGGTTATAAAGCTAAAATTTTGAAAATGGGATCCTCGCGTTAATAAGTCACTACTCAACATCCCGTCAACAATACAAGCAAACACCCTAACCTAAATTGCAGGTGATGGAGCAACTATTCCATTGGCAAAAGGTAAAGCTTTGAAAATAAAGCCTTCAAATGGGCTGTCGACAAGGATTGCGCCCACATTGAAGGCAACTCCAAAATGGTTATGCGCAGCGTCACAGGTTCCACCCACATGCCCTGGAACCTCAGGAAGCTGAGTATGGTTGGATGCAATAGTAGATATAACCAAGGAAGCTAGACATTAGGAACCTAATTATAGTGTGCCCCATTACATAGAACGTATTAAAGTTTATCAAATAACACTTTTATCTGCATTCGGTTATCAGCATATGGTCGAAGAGAGCAACGACGCTCATATAGCCCGGAAATTCCATAACCTAGAAGTAAAATATCAACATACAATCTAGCAATGTAGCTACATTTCCAATCCAAAAGAGAAAACATACCGCGGGAGGATACGTAAAGAGGATGGCATTCTTCTCCTTGGTGAATATGATGAGCTGCAACACCGCATTGAAGACTATATACGTGCAAGAGTCAAAGATCAAACACATTTCAAGCTAACATCAACACAATTCGCATCAACCAAACAGAAATTCAAAGCAATTGAACAAATAATAAACACAAATAACAAGATAAATTAGGATATAAGACGGTGCAGAGGATGAGAAAATCTCGGTTTTCGGGGTACTTCTTCTTGTAAAACTGAGCGAAGAGAGCGATGGCGATGATGATGGTGCCCAGAAACAGCCGCACGTCCTCCACATATCCGCGGCCCGTCACGATCTGCTCGAATTGCAGAGAGAAAATTCAATAAAAAAATAACCAAAAATTGAAGGCGAAAAAAACAGGGTATGCTATCACGTTTCTCATTTTACTTCTTATAGGTTCTTTAATAATTTCTGTCCCATTTTACTTCACATGCGTCCTTTAATAATTTTTGTCTGTTGATCTTCTTCAATTTATCAGATCAAACAATCGAAAATTAAAAAAATATGTGAGAAATAAAATAGAATGTGTGAATATCACATTAAAAAAAAAAAAAAAAAAAAAAGGAAAGGGAAAATGGATCAAGAGGGAAGAGTGAGAGATTGGCGTTCTTAGGGCTTTTGTTGGCCGAGTCTGATTTCTTTTCCTGCATTTTTATGGGGTCGGAGGACTGAATTTGACGGGTTTGTTCCGGAAATGGTGGAAACTGAGAGAGAATGAGCGGGTACAGTTTTAGTGGGATTATAATAAAACTGGATTCGGTGGGTACATTTAGTGAAAATTCCCACACACTATTTGCACCCACTTTTTTTTTTCTTTTTACTGTTAAACTTTTCCGCTTGTTTGAGGTTAATTTGACTCACATGAATGCAAAACAATTCAAAATTTTTATTTTAATCAACAATGAAGGAAAAAATTGAGAAAGAGCCTACTCCGTTTTTGAAAAACGAACTACCACTAGACTAGAAGACATTCTCGAATGAGGAAAAGAATCCAATGACTTCAAAAGAATTGAACGAAGAGTTGTATGAGGTGAAAATCTCATGTACGGTTTTGTAGAGTGGCAGTAAAGGTGACTTATCTGTCAACTTCTCCACTATCACTCCCAAAAAACCAAACACAACCTTACGTAAAGATGCCAAAGTACGCTTAACCTCTAAATTTGAAATCACTGCTTATATACTGCTTATATACCTGGTATTGGCCATAATTTACAAGAACATTATGTAGTCTTAGAAAGAGGGGGAAGGGTTAAGGATTTACCGTGAAAACCTAATGCACACAATTCTCTATTGCCACATTGTTAGTGGAAGAGGGGGCATCTAAAATCTAATGATACTACTAAAATCAAACTTAGGGTCTCCTTTTTAATACAAAACCATTCATATGGTGGATTAAGTAAAATATGGGTACACCAATCAGATTATCCCAAATTGATCCCCCTAAAAATCCCTTGTATTCAAGGTTATCAGTTGGGCAACAATGGCAATACATTTCCAAACAATAAATATTTGATCCTGCAGTTTCTTGATAACATTATTAGACGAAATAATCGGAATCGGGGTTGAAAGGAGTAACAGAAAAGGAGGGAGGATGAAAGGTTCACGGCTACGGAGGTTTTGATTTTACTTTGCTGGTGAGCAAGAATCGAGCGCCATTGACAAGTTCCTCCTTAATCATGAACAGAACAGCAGCTGCGAGTACACTTTGTACTATTTTCGTTCCCATCCCTTTGTAGAACCCGTAAAGTCCTTCATACCGAATCATCTTTAAAATAGCATCTGATGTGCCTGAAAGTAAACAAAATAATATGCACCACCTTAATTCATGAACACAAAACTCTTATCTGAAAATACACAGAATTGAAGTTTTGAGGTATTAGTTTCTCAATGTAAAGCATGATTTATGCGGTATAAGAAGCTCGGAAGTTCAAACCTTTATAGTGTTGCCTTTTGTCTCCGTTTGTAACCTGTTTTGCTTGAAGCCTCGACTGCAACAGCACGAGACTTGGTAAGAAACTGAAAGGTTAACGCAACCAAATCCAAGGTAATAATAATACTACATTGTCTCTTCCTGTATGTAGCATGATAGCAGTGTTTTTTCAATTGAAAGGAGCTTAAAAAGTGGAAGACATTTCAGTCGGTCGCAATCCATTCACATTATAACTCAAAGTGTGTATTACTTCGCATAAACAAAGATGTATATGCTAAGTCCTTTACCTTTACGACTAGAAGAGGATATGTCACAACTGTAGCCCCTAGTTTCGCCAAAGCACCAAGAAAAAATATCTAGCAGAATTAGGCAATCTATTAGCTCAGAGGAAAATCAAAAGAGTGAGTAACATAGGTTAGTACTGTAAGTACTCGGGTTAAAGGTTATCATAAAACATTTACTGAAAAGGTTATGATCTAAATGAAACCTAACCTCTAAAGCAGTAACCCCGCTGCTACCCTTCTTATTCAAGGCACGCCTTTGTTTCAGCTTCTTCAACATAGTTTCATACAGCATAAATTGCATGGAAGGATTACTCACCTGTGATCAAAATCAAGAACAATTAGTCGTACTCCCTTAGCCTGTATAAGAATCACTTCTCACATACCATGATCAATGTCGGGAATACACCTCTCCAGAAGCCGAAAACTCCACCTTCATCATAAATTTCCTGAATCTGTTTGTGTCCATATATTGTTATGATAGGGAAAAATTGTGCTGGCACTGAAGCCAAACTTGTGTGAATCAGAAAACCAAATTCTGGAAATCAATAGAACCACTACCGTCCCCCCATGCACGCACAGGTAGGGGACAAAGAATTAAGAATAAAAAAATAACATAATACTAACTGCATGAGTAGTCCCAAAGGGAGGAAGCTCAGCTGCAGCAAGGATTGCTTCATCTGGGGCAGTTGACAGCTCCTGACCGGGCTGGGACTTCTTTGAGGATTTTTTATAAGTCTAACAGTGCAAAATGAGAACAAACAATAAATTAATAACATCAAACTTGTATACTTTGAGTGAGAGATGCATAAGCTCAGTTTGTTAAATTAGCTACACAGAAGGATAAGGTAATTTGGTGAAATTGGTAACTAACATCATAGGCATTTCAAAATTCTGAAATAAGTTCTAAATCCTGGAATGCAGTGCTCTTCAAAGGTCACTTCGTCACTTCTAGCACAAGCATAGATACGGGAAAACAAAACTACCCAAATAAGACATGCAAATATGAACTATCGTGTCACTTGATTTGGAAATTCAAAGAGATTTGAGGCTAATGTCAATTAGCTCTTCATTTTTACCTGCATACGCGTAACAACTACCCATAAAGGATTTGTGAACAGCACATTCACACACCTGCAAGCATAAAATTGTGATGAGATTTTCAGCAATAAATCCATGAAAAAAAAAACTCATAATAAAAAAAATTAAATACTGTAAAAGCTACCAAATCTTTACTGTTCTCTTGATTTTCTTCTTCTTAAAAGCTTTCAGAAAGAGTGAATGCAACTTTTTGAGGAAACGATGCTTTTATAGCTTAGAAAATATTAGGAAACAAACAATGTCTTAAGGCCCATCATCATATAAATAAAGAAATACCCAGATAATGCAGCAACCAAAAGTGAAGAGAGCATTCCAACAGATCCATCACCAACCCCCATCTTCTTCCGTTCAAGTGCAGCAGTTTCAGCCTTGTTCCTGAATATTTGATAGAAATAATAGTAAACACCCTGTACCAATAAAATCGCAAGTAGATAAGAAACCAGACAACCAAATAAAAAATTAATGATGCAGATTTATACAACACAAGGTTTAGTGGTAACGTCCTTTGTCAAAAAAGGCTGTAAGCTGCTCTATATCATGTCAAAGTTCAAACTAAGGAATTTCTGACTCAAAAAACACTACAGAAAGAGCATTAAAATTTATGTAGCTAGTGTTGGGTAAGAACATTGCAATTTAACACTGCCAGTCATTTGTTATTCAGACGACTGCATAAGCATAAAAAAAAAAAAATGCTCAGGGTTGTCTCCTTTTATGTTATATTAGCAGATCAAATGCTTTCACTAATGAGGCAGATCAACACAAATTGTTACCATTACTAACTCGCAGAAAGCATTTACTGCTAATATTGACCTCTTAAACGTTATGAACTATACACATGATTTATCAACTGGACTCAACTTATAAACGCTAATGAATGAAGGATAACTGAGCCAATATGCGTAACATGTTTTGCTTAGGTGTAGTGATGGTCGGGGCCAAAAAGCCAGCCATGGCTCCATCGGTTTGGGCGGCTTCATGCACGCAACCTAGCAATGGAGGCCATATAATTTTGGGATGACACAATTGCATTCACTAGTACTAATCAAGAGAATAACTTAAATCAATGATATCTGCCATTTCATCCTACAGGATTTTGGCCAATCGAAAACCCAAGTTACACCGTTACTCAGATAGTATAAGAGACATCTGTAAATAGGGCCAAACTCCTCTACAGTTTCTCATTAATTCAGTTTCTGCTCCGTTAAAAACTGTTCCAATTTTTCTGCTCTTTCCCATCAATTCTTCGGCTAACAAACAATGAATGTCAACTTTACGCAATATTTTCCTACAAGCACGTATAATTTCACTCACTCCATCCTAGTTTCTAATCATTGTAACAATAAGAACGAAAATACTATTCGAAGAAGTAAAAAAATCCAGCAAAGAGCTAAAGCTTTGCTCACCTGAGATGCTGCCGTCCCCACCAATGATGGCGTCAAACCGCCGTACAACCGTTCCCATCCTTCATTTTTAATAACCTGCACATCAAATTCACACACTGGCAGAATAATCAGATAAAATGAAACATACAGAGAAGTGTGTCCTTTCTTAGATTTTTCCCGTCCATTTTCTCAGCAACCAAACAAGGTAAAAGTTTCGGAATACTCAAAAACGAAGCTGAAATTCGATAAGAGGGATGACCTGACATATTTGCTCAACAGTTCCGAGCTTCTTCTTCTCCTTCTTCAGACCACGGTCTGTTTGTTGGCGTGTATTCACCTGCAGCAGATCAGGACCCAAAATTCAAACAAAAAACAAGGACTATCAAAAGCTAAAGAAAAACAATTACGAAACGAGAAAATTTGTACAGTCTGGAGAGGATATGTGATGAGCTGGGCGATGATCCCGCCGCCAGCTCCGGCGAGGCCATTGATCAAAGCGTCGGACATATTTTCTGGAGAAAATGTTTGTGAAGGTTTCTTATTTTCTCGGGAAACTGTAGCGAGCCATCGAGGGTTATTTTTTTGGAGAGGGTGAGGGCGAAGACTATCTCTGACTTTGGCC